AGGCTGTTTTGAGAGTAAGAGAAGGCCCTACCCAGTATTAGCATAATGTTCCTGATAAAGTGCTCTGTGAGTGTGTGTACACATATATATATATATATATGTGTGTGTGTGTGTGTGTTTGGGAGAGCTACAGAACACCACAAAGTGCCAGCTCACCTGTGAGCTGTGAGGTGCAGAGATGGCCGTCCTGTCTTTATTTGTCCTTTCCCCTCCCTTATTCTGTTCTTTCTCTCCATTTGTCCTGAAGAGTCTCATTAATTCTTCATCTTGAGGGATCAGATCTTTCTTTGAATACCGAGGGAATGAGTCAGAAAACCCCTCTCCCTCTCTCTCTCTCTCTCTCTCTCTCTCTCTCTCTCACACACACACACTGAGTACAGCGTACATACAAGGCACTTACACAGGAAGTCACGTATCCAGTCTGCTGTGTGCCCACACAAAACCACACACAAACACACACCCACCTACTCACCCCAGTCACATACCATACACAAACACACGCACACACACGTGTACACACATGCACACACACATGTACACAACTGTCACCACATTACACCACTCACTGAATATTCCACTCTGGTACACACACACATTCACAGAGACTTTCTGAGCAGCCGGTAGGTAATTCCATTTTTATTCCCTTGAACATAAAAAGCATATTAATATTCCTGCAGAGCGTTCACACACACACACACACACACACACAGAGGCTGTATTAAAGCTGGCAAATCACTGCCACTCACTCCTTTTCATCTTACTCTCTCTCTCTCTCTCTCTCTCTCTCCTTGAATAGACAATATATCAGCTTCATTGATTCTGTGTTTATCAGTGGTCTAATGCTTGGGTGGCCACATTAAATATTTAAAGTGTCTCACACAGCTCTGCTACAACAGAGCACAGGGGACTCATGGAGGCACTGACTGAAACTCTCTCTCTCTCTCTCACACACACACTTTTTATTTTAAGTCAAAGGTGTTTTATTGGCATGACCATTTCTTCGATACACATAAAGGCAGCAAAAGCACACTCTTCTCTCCAGTTCTGCACGTCCTCATCCTCTCGTCCATCAACTCTCTTTCTCTGTTTACTGCTCTGGGGCAAAGGAAAAGGCTGCAGAATGAAAGGATGAGGGACGAATGAAAGTTTTAAATAAAGGCAGAGAACGAATGGAAAGTAGAGGAAATGAGAATGAATGGAGCAGGAAAGGTTAGTATACTGATGTAGAGATGTTAGAAAAAGAAGGTAAGGTAAGATAAAGAGAGAGAGTGGCTGATAAAAGCCTTCCAGTGCCCCTTCACCATGTGGCTGTAGCTGCATCATCATGACGTCAAAATCTGAGATGTAGTCTCCATTCCATCTGTCTTCATCTGCTACTGCTAACCCTTAAAATTGTAGTTAATGCCAGCAACAGCAAAAACATTTTTTAATGCTTCTATTAATTGCCAAAGCTCTTCGAAACAAGTGGAGAAATTCTGTGGAAAGTGCATAATCTAAACTTTTCATCCTTTCCACATTTGTGACTGTAAGCAGAAGAGGAGATGTTTGATTATTATTAGAATTTGAATGACGGTGTTGGGTGTGCAGCCTTGTTTTATGGAAAGAAAAAACCATCCATTATGTTTTTCCATGTTTTTGTCATTTCCTGACAAAAAAGAAGCCCAAAGTGCAGACTTCAACCTGTCGATACAGAATGTTAGCAAGCAAGCAAGCAAAGTTTATTTATATAGCACTTTGTATAACAGGTGTTGTCACAAAGCAGCTTTACAATCAGCATTACAGAAAGAAATCCCACCGGGTATTAGCAGAATGTATGTGTAGTTCACGTGTAACTTACACAATTACATTTAAATAGTGTAGTAAATCGACAGTAATAGTCTGCATAAGGTTCAGAGAGTAGGTAATATTTCAAGGCCTTTGAAGCTTTCAGTGAAAGTCCAGTACAGAACAAGCAAAGAAAGAAAGGATTACAAAGCATATTAAGTAGTATAACAATTAGGCTGTAATTACAGTCTTCTAGTGTGTTAAACTGACCACGACTTCCCTGTGAAAAATGAGGAACTTGTCAAGAACATACAGACAGGCTATAGCTCTGCAAGTACATGTCCTGACATTACTATAAGTCTACTACAAGGTTTTTACACCCTGTATTACCATGTTTCATGTACAGATCATATCTGGATATGCTTTGGCCAAATTCCATTTATACTTTTCACTAAAATGTGTCGCCAGTGTGACCAGATGAGGTCTGATTTTACTTCCTCACTTAAAAAGCACATCAACACATACATGGTTTCTGCTTTACTTCTGTTTACGCTTTTCCCTTGTTACCATACAAATCAACAAGCTTGGCTATGACACTTCACTCGGACCAGGCACTTGGCTACAGTATGACTCCACCCACTCCAAATATGATCACAGTGTGTGTTGGGTGTGTTTACACCTGTTTTTTATGTGGGCAAATGACGTCCGAACGTGATTTGATCACTATAAACACATGTTAATTTAAGGTGTAAACAGTCTTATAATGGCATGACTGTTACTCTTTTCTGGTGGGGCAGTCTGGTGTGGTTTCTTATTCAGAATAAGCATACAGGAAGTTAAAGAAATGTACTATTTCATAACACTACATAAACTTCAACTCCTTAAAATCCCAGGCTTATTACATACGAAGGCTTATTATTCAGTAATTACAGGAACTTCAATGCAAAACTATACTTAGGTTATAGAAGTGTGTAATAAAACTTTGAGCCCACCGGTGGGCCAATGGCCATTTAAGGGGTTTACAATGGTATACCTGACCACAGTGTGCGAAGTGAAAGGAGATGTTTTTCCCCCTTCTTTTTGAACATGTGATATTCATTCCCAGCAAAGCTTTTAGGAATAGTATTTGATTGGTTCAGTCAAAGTCTGTATTCCAGGAAAATGTATTTTCAAATATACTGTTGCTGTCATATCAATCTCTCATAACTCTATTTTTTATTTTTAGATTTTTTTTTTTACACCATTTGAAAACGCCATCTGCTCTTTATATTGTGTGAATGTTTAAGGACAAGCACACCAACAGAAATGTTCCAAAATTTTTGGAATGAACTTGTGTTAATCGTTGTTTTACTTCTCCCTTCCTGTGATTTAGTTAGGATAGTGATGATACTTGTTCTGTTGTTAAAGCATATTTGCATTTGTATGTTTGTGTATTGGTGAACATGTTTTGATTTGACTTACTTTACAAAATGCTCCATTTCGTGGGTCAAACAACATGCAGCGACACTCTGGCCTGGAAAAAAGGCTAGAAGTTTAGACCCAAGAACTTTTGGAGAATTATGAAGAGATCTTAGGAGAAGAGCATGAACAGAAAGAGAAACAGGAGATGGAAAGGGCAGAGGGTAGTCGTATTTGGGAGTGGTGTCAGAAAGACAGAGAAAGAGAGAGGGGGAATATGTGAACAACATTCCAGTCATTCCAACAGCACTCAGCAGACTGGACGAGATGGCTGCACCATAACAAACTCACATTACCAGTATTACCATTCGCTGACTACATCTGCTTCAGGGTCTTGTCTGATCGTGCTATTTCTGATTTTTTACACACTTATCGCTGTGTTTACTCATACAGACACGTTTCATTTCACTCCAAAGTTGTGGGAGGACCCTCTAAATTCCACTCCGTTCAAAACACAATGGCATCTTTCACAACTGTAAGAATGTCATAAGAGACTGGATGCTCCATGTACACACAGCATGAGCTCAAACAGGAGCAGACAAACACCGTGCGAACGGAGTATGCCTACACTGTCAGTGAGAAGTGAGGGCTCAAGAACAGATTCTTCTGTACTATCTGCTTTCATTTAGCATTCAGTGTCAGTAACAGTCATGCATAATTGTTTTACTGCATTACAGATTCAACTGTATAAATTTGCACTGTGGCTGCAGAGCACAGAGCAAAAGCTTTTAGCACAAAACAAGCACCTAGTAACTGAATCATGAATCGTTGGTGAAGCTTATAAAAATGTGCTATGGATATGTCAGATTAATAATTTGTTTTCTGTAAACATCACTGACTATATGCACACATTAAGAATACACTAGTGTGCGGTAGATAAAGGAAGGCTATAAGTGACTGTACAAACAAGCCTCCATAATATGCCACCGATATTTCTCCATCGTGGACTGACACTTATGCACTGTGGTGAGCAAAACATTACATTTTATCCTTCTCTTTTTTTTGCATCACAATCATTTACACAGGCCTAAAGTAAAGAAACTCAGCTCGCCGTTAGCCTCTAATAGTAAAAAAGCCGCGAATCCCGGTCCATTGGGCGACGATCCACTCCGGGTTTTAAATGGAGTTGGTTTTCGCTCTGCCTGCGTTACTATTTGTTTTCTCACCTGTATTCAGACAAACCCCGCTCGGGTTGGTTAGTAGTGTCCCGCCTCCCACTCTCGGATTGGCTAGTTGCGTCTGGCCTCCTTCGATTGGCGGATGGCTTGTGAATGTGAACTATTAGCCAATCCGAGCGCGGGAGGGCGGGGGCTGCCCGAATACTGGTAGAAAAAAAAAACCCAAACGCTCTCGGCTTGTTGTCCTGATATCACTCCGCTGCCATGGAGGAGGGGAGCGCTTGATTATTGTGATGGTGGCAAGTCTGGGGACTTTCTTCGCTTTCTTTTCTTGTCTGAAAAAGTGCACATCTTGGTTTCAAAGCGTGGAGCATTTTTTAGCATATTCAGCATTTTCGACAGACCACGAAAACAAACTAAAAAACTAATGACATGCAAGTTCACGAAACTACTCTGGAGCGTGTTCGCTGCAGACGGCGAAACTTTTTTCTCGCCTCTCGACAAGGACAAGGCAAGCAGGCGAGAGGCGGTGCGGGGCGGTGGTGGTGATGATGAAGATGATGATGATGGTGATGGTGGTCGAGAGTAACCTCCGGATGTCTCACGCGTTAGGGGTGAGAGTGTAGCCTTCCGGCGAGCGAGAGAGGGGGGGTGGGGGTGGGAGGGTTGGAGGGGTTCGGGGTGGGGGGGCAGAAAGACGGTGGACTGACCCCTGGTCCTCTAACGTTACTTTCTGTATTGGAGCGATTAGCGGATGGCGGACACGGCGATATTGCCCCGTTCAGCTGCGTGAGCGCTCCGGAAGATCCGCTCTCCAAGTCCCGGCTCTTTCTCTCCGGCTCTCTCCCTCCCTCCCCCCCGATCCCCGGCCAAACTGAGCCGATTTTGGAGAGGGGAGAGAGGGGAGAGAGGGAGTGAGTAAAACAAGCTTTTGACCAAATAAAAAAAAACCTAAAAGTTCTTCCCGAAACGTTGCGCTGTGCAGTCACGCACAGATGATGGGAGATTTCGCCAGCCCCGCTACCGCCAACGGCGGCGGCAGCCTTTGCATTAACAGCGCCGTCAACCTGAACGCTGCTATTGGCGCTAGCAGCAGCAGCGGCGGCGGCGGTGGTGCTAACAGCGGCAGCGCCGGTAACAACAGCAGCAGCACCGGTGTCCCCAAGCACAGCACCGTGGTGGAGAGGCTCCGGCAGAGGATCGAGGGCTGCCGGCGACACCACGTCAACTGCGAGACCCGCTACCAGCAAGCCCACGCCGAGCAGCTGGAGATCGAGCGCCGGGAGACCGCGGCGCTTTACCAGCGCAGCCTGGAGCAGAGGGCGAAGAAGGCAGCCAGCGGCGGCAGCAAGCAGTGCAAGCAGCAGCAGCAGGAGCCGGACCCGGCCGCCGCCGCTGCAGCCGAGCAGAGGAGCAGCACACTGATAGCGGTGAGTTTACACTGCAAGTGTGGATCCAACACACTCCACTGTATTATCTCTCTTCTAGCAGTCTTGGTTTCTTGGTTTCGGCGTGTCTGCAGGGTAACTACACCGCTCTGCAGCTGCAGCCAGCGCGGTTTGACTGTCAGGTGTGAACACAAACTTTTCTCTCAGACACCGCTGTGGGGTTTTGCACTTTCGAAAATGGCACTAACGTTACCTGCTCACTGAAAAGGGACGTTTCGATTTGAGAGTAGCCCACTCCTTCACCTTTTACCCCCTTTAAACGGCGAGTTTCGACCCCGGCAGACACAGTGCAGTGAGTGCAGTGCCTGGGCTCTGGTGTTTGGTAGTTTGCATGCAGTTGTGAGTGACTTGTTCAGGCTTTTCGCCACTTTTCTCTCCAGCTGAGCTATTTCAAAAGTTACACAGACTGTGATATCACCCGTCTGCTCTCCACCTACTTACTGCTCTACAAACTCGTTTAACACGTTTTGGTGAATATTTTCCAGCCCCTTTGCGTCGGAAAGCCGACAGTCTCGCATTTTACCTTTAACCGACGAACATTTCGGTGTCACCTTTATCGGTTGTGAGGAACTTTGTGTTTTCCGTTTACACTGCTGCTCTGTGTGATAACGTTACCTGAAACCAGTCCGCTCGTGTCGGACAGTTGTTTATCCCTGGATAGTAAAACTGTCATTTTTGGAGATTATATTTTTACTGCTCAGCTCAGTTTTATACCTCGCCTTTATCACAAATGTCTCGTCGTTTTAAGCAAAATATAAGCAGGGAGGTGATCTGGTGGAGAAATGAGGAATAGCTACACATCAGTGGCTTCACAGAAGAAAATCAGTTTGTTAGCATTGGGCGTTCGCGACACTTAACGCTAACTTAGCTGTGATGCTAAACACATCTTCCGTCAGTTATGTAGCGTTAGCATTAACGTTCCTGCTAACTCAAAAGTCATTTATAATGCATATAAACTTGAGTATAGGCTGCTTGAGGTACTGTGAGGGGGTAAACTATCTAAGCTAATCCGTTTCAATCCTTAGCTTAATCAGTATGACTTAAAAAGGAGGTACTTTAGGTACGTCGAAGTCTGCCCGCGTTTTCTCCGTGTGTAAAACTTGCCTTTTGTGTCGGTGGGTGGTCGGTGCGTCTGTGAAAACGTTAAGTGATTTCTCACAGGCTCTCTGAAGTCTGAAGGCGACGGATGATGGCGATGCTAACAGGAGGAGGACCTCCCTCTGAGCAATGTGGACATTACACCGAGCCCGGCCATTAACTGGTGGCCAACAAATGCTTCAAATTGAAGGGATCGCGGCTTAAAGAGACAGCAGCCCCCCTCTGTTGTTTTTTTTCTTTCTCAAGCCTCAGTACGGCAGCTAGGTGGCTGTATCAAGTCGGTTTAAGGGTCTTAAGCTGCAGCAAAACATCACAGAGTCAATCCAGTGAAAGAAAGAGAAAAATCACAGACCCTTGTTAACCAATCTTCTCACCTTCTTTTTGGTGACATTATACTGACGAAGAAATACTCGACTGCCGGGTTCATGCATTCTCCTATTTTCATATCCTCATCTTGGTGACAGTATTATACTGTTAAAATAGTCTGTCCATCTACATTCAGTGTTCTAGCTCTCATTTATGTTGAAGAAATAATCAGCTGTCTGATTCATATAATTACCTTAAACGTGACCTGTGCTTAACATCTAATCGTCCTAGCTCTTTTAAACTCGTCTGTCCACATTAAGCTTGTTGTGCACCTCTTGAACCTCACCAGAGAGCCAGCACATGCTGGTAATGTTGTTTCTCATAAGCAGACTCTTGGGGCTCCAGTTTCTCTTGAGCATTTCAAAATGTTCACATGTTCTTGTTGTCAGAGATTCTTAAGATACTCACTTTAGCACCCTGTGCCCTGCGTCTCTACCAGGCACTGAATTGTCAGTCTTTGCCGATTTATAATGTACACAGTGTGCAAAACTGTGTTTTCGTTTACACAAGAAGGGGTAGACAAAATAGCAGAGACACCTAAAATACATTCAGAGCTGCTAGTGAAGTACAGGGCCACCATGTTCCTTCAGAAGAGCTTTTATCATTTTTTGAATGCTGTCATACAAGTCCTGAACTGAGTGTAATGGGATATTGGGCCATTCTTCAAGAACAAAAGTCTTCAGTTCTTTGAGAGATGAAGGAAGCGGAAATCTGCTTTGCACTCTGTGCTCCAGAGCTTGCCATAAAGGTTTAATGATGTTTAGATTGGGTAGGCCATGGAAGGTGTTTGACTTGGTGTTCATGAAACCACTCTTGGATTTGGGATTTGTGTGTGTGTGTGTGTTGGGGGTCATGATCATCTTTAAATATATGGAAACATCATGGGGGGCACAGTATTTGCACTATAGAGTGCACTGGTACTGTAAAATGGCCTCATATTCCTTGTCATTACACAACTATGCAGAGAAGTTGACCAACCCTAATGATCCCCACAAGATAACTGCACATGTAGTTATGGATCTAACACCATGCTTAACAGCTGGCAACAGATACTGAGTTTTGAAGACATTCTCCAAAGGTAAAAACAAAGGAAAAAGGAATTAAAGTTAAACACACATGTTAGTTTTTTTTCCTCCCATGCATCTTTCGCCTTTATGTACCTTGGCCCTGGATGCAAGTGGTTTGAGAATTACAGGCCTGCTATGAATTCAGTTTGAGCTTTGTGAAGCTCACAATGTATATTTGTTTACTGAGGCTGGGTCACAGAGGTGAAGATTCAGTTGTGTGGTAATTCTTTTGGTCATATGTCCTGCTCCAGCGCCCCAGCTATCCCTGTTGATAGGCTTCGATGTGCAATCACATTTTTTGCTGCTACTGATGCAGTTTGTGAAGGTATGTTACTACATTTTAAGAGACTGTTTCCCTTAACATGTTAAAAAATCATGCAGCCTTTGTGACCAACGCACTTGCCCTAACCATGCAAACTGTTCAACCTTTTTTTAGCCTCTTAGCCTCATGTTGCTTCGAAAAGTCATATCAAAGTGCACACTTACGCATAGTTAGCAGCCTGTTTAATTATTATTTAGTTACTTCAAAGTTAGAGTCAGTTTTTATATGGTGCTTCTGTTAGTTTGTTCAGTCCTAGTGCATGCTGGTGAGTCAGTGAGTATAAGCGAAGTGTTGATGCCTACACTGCATGACTTGGTGTGAGAGTGTGTCACAGTGAGATTTATGGTAAATGACTAAGAAGAAAGCAAGATAGATCTAGCTGTTTGCTACTGTGTGTGACATATTGACAGTACTACGTCTGCTGATTCCAGAGGCCTATATTAGAGGAGCTGAGCTGGGTTCTTGGGTTAGCATAAACTCTTAAAGGACACACTTTCGTACCTTATTCCCACAACTATTCAAATTTCTTTTTGGTTTCAGAGACGCTACTGAATATTGCATATTAGTTTATAGTAGTTACTGTATAATAACAGAATAAGGAACTCAGTATTAGCACCAATACCTTATTGAACAGATTGGCTCTTGGACGGATGTGACTGATTCACTGTCAATACTGTTTTTAGTTGTGTGTCTAATAATAATAGTATGATAGTTACGATGTCTATAGTGATCAGCTACACTGGTTGAATATTAAATACATGTCCAGGGGGGCTATTTGCCTTAAATACCAAAACATGTAAGTATATATATGATATTTTAGGATCAGCTCTATAGTTGTAGCAGTACTTTATATGAGGTGTGTAAATTTTAAACTGAAGAAGAAAAAAATATCGACTCAGCACTCAGTATCAGTCAATATCTAGAGTTAGGTATCAGCTCAGTGCATCCCTAATAAAAAACCTGCAGTTTAATGTAAAGTTCATGCCTTCAAAGATGTCATATATATATATATCTATATATATTTCTTACTTTTCCTTTAAACTAATTTATAAACATTAAATGAGAGCTGCTAAATAGCCATTGTTAGATCTGAAGTCCTGCTTGAGCCCTGATTCTTGTCAAATGCCAGTAGATGCTCCAATTGTGTTTTATTTCTGCTGTAATAGGTGCCTACCACAACATTGAGGTCGGCACTTAAGTATAATTGTGCTGGCTTAATCATTCACATTTAAACATGAAACATTTAGCTGGTATTACAAACAACAATACTGACGGACTCTAAGACAGAGAACCGAATGATTTGTTTCTTCCTGCATAGTGTGCTAAGCCGTTGATTTAGCCTCAGAGTGTCCCTCTGGTGTGCACTGTTATCTGCCTCAGAATCAGCTTTGTAGATCTGTTTGTTGATCAGTTGTTGTACAGCTGTTCTACATAAACATATATTGTTGTCCTTTTCTAAAACTCTAGCTGGAGTTCTGAGTTCTTGAAACATCTGCGTGTGTGTGTTTGTGTCTGCATGCATGCTCACATATTTGGGTGTGTATTCAGCAATTGTTGAGGCCTGGTGCAGGGCTGGAGTGTGTGTGTGTGTGTGTCTGCGTGCACTCGTTCCAACTAAAGCAGTACTCATGGTATCACATTGTTTTGCAGTGTCTGGGACCAGTGCCCAGGATCTAAATTTAACTCGTGAGTTGGCAGCGTCACACGAGCAGTGTGACGTCAGAGACTCCGACAGCACAGCTACCGCTGTGTACGCCGTGTTTTTGTTTGGTGTGTATGTGTGTCAGTGTTCAGTGGTCATAGAATCCACAGCCATTTATTTAACTTGGGAGTTGTTTATTTCGCAAATGTGGGAGAAGAAACTGAAAGATTAGTTTCTCTAGTTTTTGTCCCTGCTTCGTTTGAGGCCTTGGCTTTTTTTTGCTTACTTTTCTTTTTACTTTCTAGCACTTTTTATTTTATTTCATTTTACCTTTTTTAGGCAGAGCAGTCACATAGAGATTAAAAATCCCTGAAAAGTGAGCTCTGGCTATGAAGGCAGCATACGAAAGACGGAAAAGTGACAAAAACTATAAAAAATAAAACAGTAAATGAACAGCTGAAAGTCACTCAATGACAAAAGCAAAGAT